GAGAATACATCATTATCTTGCGGTTTCAAAATAAAAGCTCGAACCCTCACTCTGATTTCACACGTTTTGATGTCCACATATGCATTTAGTTACAGTGGCTATAGCATCTCTGTCCTGAAGAAATGGCCAAATACTAAAGATTAAGTGTTTAGGATCGTACGGACGCAGTGATATACAACACGATTTTACGACCTCCCGAATTCCGAATTGAATTGAGAGAAGGGCAGTGTATAATAATAAACTGTGTTAACTATATGTAGTAAGCTACATTTAAATAAAACCGCTCTCTTTCTCGCTATCTCTCTCATAACTGCACAATCTTGCTATGAGACGTGACTGTTTGCTAGGCCTACAGGTTCTTTTTCAGCTCCGGGAAACCGGGCTTTATATTAATTATAAAGCCTAGTTACACGCTATAGCTAACAATTAGCAGCTACCTATCTCACCTGAGAACTGTAGCTCTTGAGTTACAGTGGAAAAGGAACATGTGAAAATAATTTAAAATATGAATTAAAAACTTCATAGCTTTCTTAAAAGAAGAAACTAGTAAGAATGACAAAACCCACAACAAAGTTACTAAAATTAAAATTAAAATGTTATTACTTCAAAATCTTAATAAAAACTATAAATGGGACTGGTTTGCCGCTCATGTCAACACCGTTTGAGTGCACTGGGAGGTTAGCCAATCAGAGAGTGATGATGTTTGACCTGAGAAACACTCGATGAAGTCCTGCTCCAGTTTGACGGCTCTGTCTAAAGCTCTTCGGGCCTGTTCCTCCGTCAGACGCTTGTTAATGTCTCTGAAATCAGACACAGCCACTGCAATCGTTACACTGTGTCAACTGACCGTGATCTCAGACACACACACACACACACACACACTATACACACTCTCAGACACACACACACACACACACACACTATACACACTCTCAGACACACACACACACACACACACACTATACACACTCTCAGACACACACACACACACACACACTCTCAGACTCACAGTATGTTCTGCAGGGATGAGGGTCGTATAAAGATGGCGATGGGGTGAATTTGGGCGGCCTGTAACCTCCTCACTGCATTCGCTGAAACATCCAGGATGCAGTGCTTCCCCTGCTGTTCTGCCACCTGTCTGACGCTCTGGACGCTGGTGCCGTACAGGTGGTTGTTGTACTGTCCGGCCTCGATGAACCGGTGACTCTGAATGTCTTTCTCCATCTGTTCACGTGACGGCACGAAGTGATAGTCGCGGCTGTCCACCTCGTACTCGCGCTTGGGCCGCGTCGTGTCTGTCAAACACAGGAAGCCTCTTCAGCAAGTCTTGTGTGCAGAATACAGTCCGAAAAAAACACTCGACTGCCATTCATAGAGTTTATCATCGTCATATGTGGATTATAAGGAGAAGTGCTGCTCGTTGTGAGTGTCGCGGGTCATTCAGACCAGGGTTATTACTTACCTAAACCTTAAAGAAAGTACTGAAATAACTTCAACTGCATCTTCTGATCAGACTGTAAAAGTGTTTCTGTCTTGCTTTCCAGTTCAAATGTCTAAAGATCATGACACATTTACCAGAGAAGATAATAAGTCTTGCTTTCTGAGAAATTCAACCCAATTTAATAAAAATATAAAAAATATCTGTCAGAAAAGAATCAACTTAATTCAAAGGGAAACAAGGTTTCATTCCCCACTGACAGATGTTTGTTCTTGTTTTAATCATAAACTCACTTCATTTTGTTCAATTTCTCAGAAAACAAGACTTCATATCTTCATATTCTTCTGATTGGTCCACTGTTCTGAAACTGACATTGATGAGCGGCGCTGCGTGTAAAAGTTGAAATTCTTTTAACTTGACGAGGCGTCTTAAAAACTCGAGGCGCTGCAAAAGACGCGAGCGTAACGGTCACGCACGCCCGTCAAGCGCGAGTTTACATAGAAAAACAATGGAAAAGTAGCGCACTGGAATGGAAAAACACATTCTGTGTGAATGGCTGCTAACTGTATCTCAACGATACGAAAATAACCCAGGTTCTTACGCGGGACGCAGGAGCCGAACTTGTCGGGGAACTCGGAGAGCAGATCGTCATTGACGCGGTCCTTGCTCGGCCCGAGGATGATGACGGGACGCGCGTAGTGCACTGTGGGACAGGAAATGACATCACAGTCAGTCAGCAGAACACACTGTGACAGCAGTGTCACCCAGAGATGCGAGACTCACCTTCAGCCTGAAGCACCGTCTCATAGCTGACGACGTATTCGCTGCGTCCTGAAACACACACACACACACAAAGCGTCAGCGTCACATGACCCGCCGTGAGCAACACACCAGACTCAAACACACTGCCGACGGGCCGACGGCTTCTCTGCCTCGCGTCTTCAGACGAGACCATTCCTTCCTCTCCACCCTACACACACACACACACACACACACACACACACACGATCAGCTGCTGATCAGTTTCATATTTAGAGTCACTGTCAGTCAGTCATCAGTCGAGAGTGAAACACTGTGATTCACACACACACACACACCACACACACACACCTCCTCTTGCTGGGAATGTATCCGGTCTCCTCCAGTTCTCCGTGTGGAGTCAGTTTCCCGGCCTGCCACCACTCCTCATCACTGCAGTCAAACACCTGCAGAACGTCTCCAAAGTTAAAGCTCAGCGCCTGCGACAGGAACCCACCATCCGCCGTCTTATCGTAGTCAAACAGAGCCCTGCAGACACACACACACACACGTGCGCGCACACACACACACACGTGCGCGCACACACACACACACGTGCGCGCACACACACACACACGTGCGCGCACACACACACACACGTGCGCGCACACACACACACACACACACACACAGTCAGTGCCAGTAGCATCATGTGTATGTGTGCGTTCAGGACCCAAAATGAACACTCTCTAAGCACTAAATGTGAGTAAAAATCAGTACAAAATGAAATTTTTCATGAATTCTCCCTGCAGTCTTCCACCAAAATAAAAGCTGTGGAAGAAGAGTGGACCGAGATCACAGCAGCGCAGTGTGAGAAACTAGTGAAGTCCTGCAGATGTGCTGAAGTCACTCAAAGCAGGAGCCTCTACACTTCCTACTCATTTCTGACAGCTGTAACCCTCCAAAATATTAGTTGTAATCTTAGAGACAGATATGTAGTTATTATTATTAGTGTAGAAAAAAAAATCTACATTTGATTTGTTTCTCCAAATGGTTGAGCCGTAAGCAGTAGTAACCGGCTGTTTTTCAATGAAGGCAGTATTCATGAGCAGTAAATGTTGTGAAGTCATCGGTCGTTGGCAGGTGTGTGGTTTGTTCTGGACTCTGTGTGTGAGTGTTTCTGTGTGTGTGTGTGTATGAGAGAGTGAGTGTGTGTGTTTGAGTGTGTGTGTGTGTGTGTTTTTTCTGGACTCTGTGTGTGAGTGTTTCTGTGTGTGTGTGTGTGTGTGTGAGAGAGTGTGTGTGTGTGTGTTTGTTCTGGACTTCAGTACCTGATGAAGAAGCTTCTCTTCCCGCTGCGTAATGACGCCGCTGCAGAAACTAAACTGCTGTTCATCAGCTGCTCCCGCAGGTCGTGAATCTTCGCCTCAAACCTGCTGTACTCTAAACATACACACACACACACACACACACACACACATGATGCGCTGATCCGGTGTGTCAGGACAGGGTTAATGAGGCTGGATTTCTCCGCGTCTCACCCTCGGGTCTGTACTGTGCGATGATGGTGACGGTTTGTCCTGCGCTCTTCAGCGCCGCCGCCGCCTGCTCGTGAGTCGCGTGACGCAGATCCACACCGTTCACCTGCAGCATCACAACAACATTACAGCAACGCTGCAGTGACAGGGTGTGTGTGTGTGTGTGTGTGTCAGTGAGTGTGTGTGTGTGAGAGAGTGTGTGTGTGTGTGTGCATGTTTTTGTGACAAATGAGGACATAAATGTGTATAATGACAAAGGTATGACAGGTATTACAAGGAGAAGCTGACTTTTCAGGACATTACCCCATGTCCCCACTTTTCAAAACGCTTATAAATCACACAGAATGGAGTGTATTGAAAATCTGAAATAGCAGAAAGTCTCCTGTGAGGGGTAGGTTTAGGGGTAGGGTTGGTGTAGGACAATAGAATATACGGTCTGTACAGTATATAAACCATTACACCTATGGAGAGTCCCCACTTTTCACAAAAACAAACCTGTGTGTGTGTGTGTGTGTGTATGTGTGACGTACACTCAGGATCTGATCTCCTTTCCTCAGCTCTTCGCTCAGATCAGCCGCTCCTCCTGCCAGAATGAAGGAGATGAAGATCCCCTCACCATCCTCACCGCCCACAATATTAAAGCCCAAACCCGTGGAACCCCTGAGAATGACCACACGCCGCGGCTCCCTGCGAACACCATGTGATACGTTTTGTAATGTTTGTGCTGGTCTGAATCATTACAGAAACAGACTCTGTAAGAGCAGCAGAAGGAGTGTATGAGTGTGTTGACCTGGGAATGTCCTCGTCCCCCAGCAGCAGAGCTTTAGGGATAGGAGAGTAACGGCGCGGAGACGAGGGACTGAGGGCTTGTGGGTAATCAGACATGTCCATATGAGGAGAATACGCTGCAGAAACACACAGACATCAGAGATCAGCTGTGAGTGTGTGTGTAGGAGTGTGATTGGGCGTGTGGGAGTGTGTGTGTGTGTGTGCGCGCTCACAGCTGGTGATGTCAGGAGGATTGTAGGCGTCTTGATGATGATGAAGAGTTTTGGCTACTCTCAGATAAACCACGTCTCCTGTGTTTTTCAGCGCCGCTACAGCGTCTTCATGCATCACGTCCTCTAGATACATATTATTCACCTAAACACACACACACACACACACACTCACACACTCTCACACTCACTCTACACACACACACACACACACACACAGAGACACACACACACACACACAGTAGATCAGTGTCATGATAAAACCAGCATCACTGAACATCCACGATTATCATAAGATACACCTCATGTCGTGATTTACACAGGAATTAGTGCACGTCAGAGATATAAAAGCTACAAATCCATGATTAAGACGTTTTTAACTTTTAAAGTTTTGTCACTTCTGGAGTCTATAATCCATAATAACTCTTCCTCCAGTGAAGAAGTGCATCTGCTGTTGTCTCTCGCATCAAAATCCAGCCACATGTTTGTTTAGAGCTGTTTAACCGCTGCTTGATCTGTGCAGATTTCTCTCCTGATTCACACCAGAACACTGACTCACTGGAGGAAGAGTTATTATGGATTATAGACTCTATGTATTTGAGTTAAAAACGTCTTAATGCTGGATTAGTTTCATCTTTTGTCTTCTCCAGATGTTCACTGATGGACTGGAGTGCTGTGGATTATTGTGATGTTTTTATCAGCTGTTTGGACTCTCATTCTGACGGCACCCATTCACTGCAGAGCATCCATTGCTGAGACACTGATGCAGTGCTACATTTCTACAAACCTGATGAAGAAACACACTCATCCTGATCTCAGATGTTCAAACTCACAGCGAGGATTTTGTCTCCGATCTGCAGTCGTCCGTCTCTATGCGCGGCTCCTCCTTCGATGATCTTGGTGACGTAGATGCTGTTGTCTGCGGGGACGTGTTGGTTCCCCACGCCGCCCGCGATGCTGAAGCCCAGACCTGCGGCAGAGGCTCAGCCAATCAGACCTGACCTGACCAAGCTGAAGGTCAGGTCAGCCCCGCCCCCTCCCTCGCTCGCTCGCTCGCTCACGCACCTTTAGGGCCCTTGATGAGCTTCAGCTCTGTGATGTTCTCCGCAGGCGGTCTGTGTCGCAGCACATAGAGCCGCACGATCGGCCCCGCCTCCTTCAGCGCCTCCACCGCTAAACTGTGAGTGACCTCCCGCACATCCACGTCATTCACGAACAGAATGCTGTCGTTCACCCTGAAACACAGACGGCTTACACTCACTGATCCTGAGAACACGTCCGGCCCAAAACTAGACACTTCTACAAACACCACACTGTTTCATTACACTGAAAAACAAATGGTCAAGGCTCCCTAAGTGAGCAGGTTTCATTCAGTATTAGTATTTCTTGATCAATTGCTGTGAAATTGTATCGTCCTACTGTAAACATTTATGTTGTATTGTCTTGTGAGAACTGCATATTGAAACAAGTCACTGAAACAAAATTTCCCCAAGGGGATGAATAAAGTTACTTAATAGAGCGGAGAGTTGACGGCTTACACTCACTGATCCTGAGAACACGTCCGGCCCAAAACTAGACACTTCTACAAACACCACACTGTTTCATTACACTGAAAAACAAATGGTCAAGGCTCCCTAAGTGAGCAGGTTTCATTCAGTATTAGTATTTCTTGATCAATTGCTGTGAAATTGTATCGTCCTACTGTAAACATTTATGTTGTATTGTCTTGTGAGAACTGCATATTGAAACAAGTCACTGAAACAAAATTTCCCCAAGGGGATGAATAAAGTTACTTAATAGAGCGGAGAGTTCCGGTGCTTGATTCTGATTGGCTGAGCCGCGTTCGAAGCTGTTGTGAATGACGCTACAAAGTAACACACACCTTTGTTTACTTTGTGTGTTGCTCGGCAACCACTTTGTAGCAACCACAACTGTTTCTGAGGAGCTACATTGTTTGGTGGAAGAATACTGTGTTTATTAATATCATTACACTTTATTTATAATTACACTAAAATTATAATAAAGAAAAAATCATCAAGTAACACATTGAATTAAGTGCGAAAATTTTAGACTGAAAAAATATTTTTGTAAAACATACTCCAATATTTTGTGTTTTATTTACAACTTAATAAAAAAAAATCTAATTTAATTTCCATTAGCTGATATCATGAAGTAGTATATTCAGTATAAAATACACTTAGTATCTGTTATAGTGAATATTATGTGTGCTGGTTTTAATTAAATATAATAGATAGTCTAATTAATAAATCAATAAAAATAAAGTGAAAAATGTAAGAATATTCAGCTTAAAGAAAATGCCTATTTTTGTAACATTATTTATGTAACAATTAAAGGTATTGCAAAGAAATAGACTTGATTTTCTTTTCTCTTCATTTATTTATTTATAAATAAATGAATAATATTTATTAATCTGTTAACTATTTAATTCATGATTTGCTTGCGGTGAAATGTGACCTGTACGTTTCTTTGTGACCTTCAGGCCAGAAATCAAATATAGATCCTGATCAAAAACGGCACAGGTGTGTTCTGTACCTGAGCCGTCCGTCCTGCGCCGCGGCTCCTCCTGGGATGATCTTAGTGATGAAGATACTGGGATCCTCTCCTATGTGAGGGTTATCAGTCCCACCGGCGATACTGAAGCCCAGGCCGGAGTTACCCTACACACACGCGCACGCGCACGCACACAGACACACAGACACAGACACAGACAGAGACACACAGACCACCCACACACACACACACGCACACACACACACACGCACACACTCACACACACACACACACACACATGCACACGCACACACACACACACACATGCACAGACACACACACATGCACAGACACACACACACACACGCAAGCTGATGCTCATGCACTACCACTCTCATATGATGCATTTGAGAAGAGCTGAAAGGAAGAGACGTCTCTAACCCTCTCCAGTGTGATCTCCTCATACTCCACGTCTCCGTCCATCCCGTTCATCTGAGAGACAGAGAGAAACATCACTCATCAGTATCATTACTCACTGAGCATTTCTTCAGCACAGGATCACACGGACTCCAGCTAATCTCAGGTGATTCTCCGTGATGCTCAAACACCTGCATCACAATGTATGTTTGTTTGTACCAAGAGCTCCTAAAAAACACAGACTCCTTGTGTATTTGCGAACAAATCTCTTTCTTATTCTGATTAAAGATGTTTTCTTTGGATTGTTTGACTACTCAAAAGAGAATACAGCTAAATATGCCTTGTGTTTCCTGCTAGCTAAATTTGAGATACATAAACAATAATCTGATGACAAAAAAAATTATTTACGATCCATCATTTCTGATCGGGACTTCGGAGCGTGAATCCCGAATCTGTCGATTCGTGAAATGATTCGCGAACCCGATCGATTCGAAGTTCAGATATGAATCAAATGACTTGTGATATGCTCTCCGAAGTTGCGATCTGAATCAAAAGATTCACAAATCTGCTCCGAAGTTGCGATCTGAATCAAAAGATTCACAAATCTGCTCCGAAGTTGCGATCTGAATCAAAAGATTCACAAATCTGCTCCGAAGTTCCGATCTGAATCAAAAGATTCACAAATCCGCTTTGAAGTTCCGATCTGAATCAAAAGATTCGCAAATCCGCTCCGAAGTTCCGATCTGAATCAAAAGATTCACAAATCCGCTCCGAAGTTCCGATCTGAATCAAAAGATTCACAAATCCGCTCCGAAGTTCCGATCTGAATCAAAAGATCCACAAATCTGCTCCGAAGTTGCGATCTGAATCAAAAGATTCACAAATCTGCTCCGAAGTTCCGATCTGAATCAAAAGATTCACAAATCCGCTCCGAAGTTCCGATCTGAATCAAAAGATTCACAAATCCGCTCCGAAGTTCCGATCTGAATCAAAAGATTCACAAATCCGCTCCGAAGTTCCGATCTGAATCAAAAGATTCACAAATCCGCTCCGAAGTTCCGATCTGAATCAAAAGATTCACAAATCCGCTCCGAAGTTCCGATCTGAATCAAAAGATTCACAAATCCGCTCCGAAGTTCCGATCTGAATCAAAAGATTCACAAATCCGCTCCGAAGTTCCGATCTGAATCAAAAGATTCACAAATCCGCTCCGAAGTTCCGATCTGAATCAAAAGATTCACAAATCCGCTCCGAAGTTCCGATCTGAATCAAAAGATTCACAAATCCGCTCCGAAGTTCCGATCTGAATCAAAAGATTCACAAATCCGCTCCGAAGTTCCAATTTAATCAAATGATTCGTGATCCATCATTTCAGATCGGGACTTCGGAGTGTGAATAACGAATTTGTCAATTCACGAAATGATTCATGAACCTGCTCGATTCTAAGTTCCGATATGAATCAAATGACTCGTTATACGCGCTCCGATTGGAGCACTTGGAAACAATTAATCATTTTGCGACGCAATGGCTTAACTCACTGATTCTCAAAGCGTGTTACGTGGGCTCCCTCTAGTGGTACGCAGAGGAATCACCGACTTAAATATTAATTCATGTTAAAACTAGGGATGCACCGATACCACTTTTTCCAGTACTCGCCCGATACCGATACTTTTATTTTGGTACTTGCCGATACCGAGTACCGATACCGATATTTTTATTGCGTTTGTAAATTTTTTAAATATTGGGTACAGAAACCAAAAGAGTATGTATAATGTTAGCTGGTTAACTTCATTTATCAAATAGATACAGCCAAACCTAAATGTATTCAGACACCTTCAACATTTCTCACATTATCTCAGTTTATTCACTATAGTTTAGAAAATGGTAATAAAATATAACAAGAACTCAGAGTTAAACTAGCTAAAATAGCTTACAATAAACCAAAAAATTAGACAGCTGTTAGTATGACAGTATTTACACAACTATCAATACTTAGTCAGGTGACCCTTAGCCTCAGTGACCGCCTGTAGTCTCCTGCGCATGCTGTCACCCAGCTTCATGCACACCTCAACTTCACTTTATTCCCAGACTCTGAATATTTTTGGGACCCAAATTTGTATACATTTTACAGGTAGTCCACTGTATGAAGAATTTTTGGGTATGATTTGTCACAGTTTACTTTATTCTGCTATCCTCACTTACATAAATGAACTATAGTGTCCTGCAGTAAAAACATATCAAAAATTATATCTGGTCTCTGAATAATGTTTGGTTTGACTGTATATCCTTCGGTTATTTTCACACTTAATTATGCCCATTAAAATGTATTTTACAAGTTTGTGTTACTTTCACTGTTCATT